TCATGACGTAGATCATCATACACTTTGTTATTAACAGTTGTATGGCATCCTGACTTAGCGGTTAAGTGAGTTTTACACGGGTGTGTGTTGTAGTTGACTCCAGCTGCAGCCAGACCTGCTTTAAATACACTTTGAAACCATGACAACACATGTACATCTATATAGCTATCATTGAAAACAATTTAATGACTTATGTTCATCATAACTTGCTTCGTATGGTGAACTGACAACTCCTCTGATGGTCGGATTTCTTAATGCTTAATGCATGTATGCTATCCTGACAGCGTATGGCTATCTGATAGAACGGCTCTCCGTGAGCGACACTCCAGTCCTATCTAATAAGTAAAGAGCCGTGGAGAAGAATCGACTGTTTCTGAATGTCACCTCACTATATTGCAGACTTTTGGACACAGCGTTGTCCCATACTTGCGACAAGTCAGTCAACACCTCCGCACAATNTCTGCTTTGCTTCCATCTTTGTGCTACAATCCGTGGTGGTCTCGTGCCATCCCTAAAAAGATAATTCCCTGGGTGTTTGCCCATATTGGTCATGTCAGAAACCATCACTATCTGCATTATTAAACATAGCAATTGAGGCAATGCCCTGACGGTAAATAACCCTCAGCTATGAACACTGACCAAGGAGCAACAAGCAAGAAGTAACCAAGCACAAGGCGCTCACCGTGACTGTTCTCACCCTCTCTCCTGCTACATGAAGCCAGGTAGTCCGACACCATGGCAGACATTACAGCTGCCACTTTTAACGAAAACAATCAAAGAGCAATGTGCATGCTCTGTGTGCTCTTTTGTTCTTGTGTTTTATTTATTTGTTAATTAAAAAAATATCAGTGTACATAATTACATAAAATAATGATAGCTACTGCAGTGTACGCAGAGCATTACAAGAAAAAAGAATGGCTCTCAGTGACACTCTAGACCTATTTTCTAAGTAAAGAGCCGTTCAGAAGAATCGGACTGTTCCTGAATGCCACATTACTATATTGCGGACTTTTGGACACAGCGTTATCCCATATATGCAACAAGTCAGTCAACACCTCCGTACAATAATTAAGTGCAGTGAGAACTTTTTTTCATCACAAATGCTTATGTGTCTCTGTACAGCTAGCTTTCCTAACATCACGTCAATGGAGCTTACCTTTCTTTGAGCTACTTTTCCAAGTGAAAGCAAAGCGATGTTTAGTTATTTGTGGCCTTCGGATTTATTATGATTTATGCAGCGCTATTCTATTACTGACGACTAGACAGACATCTTCTGCTGCTCAGAGGAAACCACTGCGCATGTCTCAGAGTGCAGCGTGCGAGTGAAAGGTGGGGATGGGAGGGGGTAGTAACAGAAACGCGGTTATTGCTTGGATTTTAATCGGTGCGTTTTGCATCCACTGAAAACAACGATGTTAACAAATAAACTGGACAGTATTAAGGAAGATTTCTATGAATTAGTTAATTTTGGAAAAAGTTTGGCTCTCTCTCTTCCTTGGATCCCAGGTCCTCCCAGCGACGGCCACGTGTAGTCACTCAGAAGAAAACAGCAATGCATGTTGACGTCACAGAATTACAGAGTTTAATCCAATATAAGACAATGCATAAACTTACAACAGAAACTGCAGAACAACAGAGACATACATTCATTTACCTGACATAAATGGAAAGAAGGAAAGAAAGAAAGGCAAAGACGTGCAAAGACATCTTTGGAGAATTGCAAGAGCAAAATCTGATTTGTTACTCTGTAGAAAGTTTTATCTTCTTTTCTTTAATTTATTCAAATAAGGCATATCTTTGCTCATCCAACCAGGAGCTATCTCTGACCCTTTATCTGAAGCCAGGAACCCCTGCCGTGTTTACGGCTTTTCACAGATGAGTGTGAAAAGCTAGAACTTCTACTGTATTGTTTTCCAACACAGACAAAAGGCAGTTCAAACGATCCTAGCAAACCATCTGCTGTAACTACAGGTAACATAAAGGTCAATGGGCCAGAATACGTTACTGATTTCAAAACCACAAATAGGCCATTTGAATCAAGACAAGTTTTAAAACTAGCATATTCCAAATTTATTTTCTCAACAACAGTATTAGTGATACTTTCACAGTTGCAGTTTTGACTGGTCTGGAAATAAAATGCCGAGTCCTCAGCACCCAAGACCGAGACAAGACCGAGACCAAATGCGGTCGAGTCCGAGATGTGACCGAGACCAGCAAAAAATGGTCTCGAGACCAAGACCGATCTCGAGTACTACAACACTGCTACATCCCACTACTGGGAATGCTCCATACCAGTGACGTGCGGGCAGGGGAGGCATCATGGAAAAATAATATATAATAATAAAATCATTTATATTGCTATTTTCACCCTGTGGTTTGTACTATTTTTTACTTATCTTAACGAATTCTGATTATTTTTTTCTTCAAAATGGC